AGTTTCTAGTTCCTCGGTTATCACCTAGATGCCGCTGTGATCCTTGCCTCTTTAGTGAATGATTGGTCTCCGGGAAGCTGGTTTGTCGTACCGTGACATTGCGGTTCGAACGGTGCGCACTGGTATTAAAGTGAAGCATATGTGCCATCAGTGGGTAGAGGAGGATCGTATACAGCGACGAGCAGGTACTAGCCCACACAATGTGACCACAGCGCGCGATGACCGCCATCTTGTCCGCATGGCCAAAACTGACAGAACGGCGTCGTCCGGTGTTGGCACGACTTTGGAGCACTGCAACGGGACTGCAGAACAAATGATACCTATTTTCAGCATTAGACGTCCTAAAAAGTTTTTAAGTCACAAACAATAGTGATGTTTTATGAGTGTGCGATTTGATGTGGATTGACTTGGGTATGTATACTATAGTAAAGAATGTCCCTATACATTCGTAAAAGCTTGCAACACGTTGATCTCTCCCGACAAACGAATACAAAAGTATACACAACATATGAAAACTCAATATTGTTCACACAATAATAGCTTGACATCCGTTTGTGATAGATTTTGAAAGTAGAAACGATTCTGAGATTTAACTTTCACACATTTTAGATCAGTAGTCGCAGTTTGAACTAAGTATTAGGATTCATTATATTATTTTGATTATAAAAAAAATCCCCCATGTGTTCGACAAAATCTGAGGAGTGTACTGTTCAGAAATTTACTGTTTGGCGCTTTTTAACTTGCCTTTTTGGTATCTAGTGAACTTAACGCTCGCTCTGCAAATTGAAAATGTAAGGTTGTGTCGATATTTGAGTGGGAACGTTTCTGTGCTGAAGGGCATTTTAGTGTTATTTTCTAATGCGAGGTATTTGGACATCGAGAAAATAAAGTAATATGTTTTTTTTATTTACGTCGGTAAACGCGCTTAGTTCCTTAGCAATCAAACATCTAAACAACGCTTTAAGAGCGTTATTACAAGTTAGATGATAAATGCCATTTCTTTCAATGGGGAGTATAGGTGATTTGGAATTAGGGAATAAAGATTGGAGGGCCCACCTAGGGAGTAGAGGACCTTGACGTGGTGGTGGAGCTTGTGTGCCCCCGTGAACCTGAGAGCTATGCCGGCGGTAGCATAGCTACTGGTTAAGCCTCCCATGCCGGACATGTCCAAGGGGAGGGGTCAGACGAAGAAGTACTCCAGAAGAGGACACCGGCGTTAGAAGAGGCCAAAGACGAGGACCTGAACGAAGGAGAGGAAGTTCCGACGTAGATCTTCGGCTTCGACATGGCGAGACTGTCCTCGAAAGGGTAGGGGGAACTCTTAGCCCAGCAAAGGCAATCCGCCTAGGGTTAGTGGCCCAAAATACCACCCAGCTTGTTTGGAGGCTGTGAGGTGGCAGCCCCACTACCAAACGTAACCTGCGCAGCGCTCGTAACGCGGCCAGGGGATTCAATAACTACTGGCTCTCTTCACAATGCACAACAGGGTGGATCATGGGAACGATTTAAGCATGCCAAGGATAAACGATTCGGTATTTCGGGACGACTAAAACTAGCTACCTGGAATGTCAGGTAATAAAGAAGAAGTAGATAACAAACTTAAACGAAAAAGGAATAGATATAGGTGTCATAACGGAAACCAAAAAAGGATGAAAGGTACAAAAGTTATGAAACATTATACGATGATCTAGTGTGGAGTAACTCAAAATAGATGGGCAAGTAGTGGGGTAGCAATTATGGTTAACAAGAGGTGGAAAAA